GTAACAAGGCGAAGAAAGAAGGAAGGTGTGAAATGCAACTTCTTCACCAGAAAAGCTTCAAGCATATCGAACACAGGCATTGCAAATATCTGCAATTTCCCAAGCTAAGAGGAAGTAATGTTAAAACTTTTCCGAAATAATTCAGATATAAAAGTAAAACTCGACAGATGATGAAGACTAAAGTGACTATTGAATTATTGGACAATCACAAAATGTTACCTACAACAACAAGCCAAGTGGGTTTCTCTAATGTGATGAGGATGTTGTCATGGACATTGTTTCCGAAAATGTAGTAACCAACAATTGAGACTAGGAAGTAACACAAAGCTCCAACAATATATGCAACTGCTACTCCTTTCCACATTGGTCCTTTTGATGGATTCTCAAGAGTTAAGGGAATTGTTGCTTGGATCTTCAGAAATTGGGTGTTTAGTTTTTAACAAACAGTATGTGAAGCTGTTCTTAAGCATTTTGTGAATTCTGGTATCTTAACGGATTTATTTCTATATATTTACGTTTTGATGTAACAACTCCTCCAAGTTAAATAAGTTTTCCTTAGTCAGTGACGCACCTTGTCCTTGATACTAACTTAAATGAACTTGTTCTAAGTTTCTTTGCTTTCATGAACAGCGAAATAATTTTGTCAGCCAAGAACAATTTGTTTCGGGATGATAACAATTTATCCCTCAGGTTTGGTCTAATAACATTTTAGTCCTGTGGAATTTTAATATTAATGATTTGGTCCTGAGGTTTGTTACTGACAGACACAGACTAAAAATGTTACTGAAATTTTGTACTAGATTAAAGTGTTATTAAATCAAATACAGGGATGAAATGGGTATATCTTTATTTCATTTGTGACTCGTTCTGGCATGCTTCAAATAAAATACCAATTTGGGCCGGGATTGCCCGAGTTAGGCTCCATGTGTAACTAAAAAGTGAGGGTCTGGGCTCAGAGAAGGCTCACTGTCTTTATACCCTGGCCGGGCTTACCCGGGATTTTTGGCCTTGGATATGATTGATAATTATTAAATTTATTACTTATGGTCGCGTTGGATTTGACTTTAGGTACTCTTAATTTAATCAGGTGGTCTCTTAATTTAAATAGCAGTCATTAACGGTCAACGACGGTCAACTTGATAGTCTCTTTGGCCGTTGTTGACTATTAGATCTAGTCTTTTACGGCCGTCGACAGTCAGATCTGGCTTTTTCCGATCAGATCCATAGTAGATCTGGCCAGATCGACACACCACCACCTAGATTCGACCAGTCTGAATCGTAATGACAGATTCCAACCAGATTCTGATGGTGATGGCCGAAATCTGGCACTGTAGTGGTGGGGGTGTTTTTGTTATTTTATAAATTAGGTGTTTTGTAATTATTAACAAAGCCAATGATATTTTCGTCCACATTGTCCACTGTTTTGGGGTAAAATTGAATAGAAATTTGGATTACCGAAGTACTATTTTAATACCACCCTCCCCCCAGGTAATATTATTCCCAGTTATTTACCCCCTTTTTGCCACTGTTTTTTATCTTATTTTCCGGTAAGTTTTTATACCAAAATGCCAAACAGATAATCTGTTCAATTAAACAAACATTACCCTAGTTAAAAAATTTCAACGGATCCAAACAGGCCATATGGTTACAAAATAAATCTGATTTGGCAATACAAGTCATTATCCTCAGCAAGTAATCTCAGCCATTCAGTTTTTACGTACAAACTAACAGAAAGTTACAATTTCTGGACCGTATGATCTGCGGAAAAGTGAAAAATGCAGCCGTTTAATCTCTAATTCTTCTTTCCTTATATCTAAGTAATCTGCTACAGTATCAATACAGTAAATTAAAGGCAGCAAAACAATGCAGCTGCGCGCAGTAGCTTCAACTTCAAACAGCTGCAAGTACGATTACTTCAATCTTAATTTCAAAACGTACTTGCTTCCTTCTTTGATTGACACATTCTTCAACTTCAGCTGAGTTGCATTGCAGCTTGTTTACTGCACTCTTGCATTTTTAACAGAGAGCGGGCGGGGGTCTCAGGGGGGCAGCACCCTCGGGCCTGTAAGCGGTTTGGTTTATATAATGTATAGCCTGTAGGATTTTCTAAGGATTAGAACTCCTAATAGGGTTGGATGTAGGAAAAAAAAATCCTAGTTGTATTAAGTTTCTCTTCATAACTTAGCATATAAAAACATTATTTTCTTGTATGAGTGACATAACAAGTCATAATAAATACATTTATTGTAACAGAAAAAGTGAGAAAATATTTCAATAAACCAAGATAAATAGCGTATATTTCTTTTTCTTTACTAGTTGGATATTTATTTATGGTTATTTGTTTCTTTGATTCCAAACACTTTTTAGTTCTTTCAGTATGTAAAATTGGCTGTGGGAAGGAGATTTTCTATTATTTGTATGGCTAGCAATGAAGCATGACATCTCTGTGATGGGATGGGGTAGTGCTTTATGGACTATTTAGAGCATACTGTATATCAAATTCTAACCTAACTAGTTCTTTACAATCCTACTGCTGAAGATGAAAATTTCTTGCTTCCTGCTTGAGATTGCTATGCAGTATGGCGCACTGTTAATAGGTTACTTTGACTCATGCAATATGCTTTTGTGATTACTGTTACTTGATCATTCAATACCTGTTTTTTTCATTGCGACAGGTGTTTAATGAACCAACAGATGTGCAGCATCCCATTATGGAAATGACCACTCGTGCTAAACTTAGTTGCTTGAGTTGGAGCAAGTATACAAAAACTCACATTGCTAGCATTGATTACGAGGGGATAGTAACTGTTTGGGATGTAACGACTAGTCAGGTATAGTTATTAGCTATATCTTTCTTTTAGCTTCAGTACACCACATGCTCATGCTTTTCGATTAAACCTGCATTTATTATCATCAAATGTCCTCTTTCAATTATTTCTGGTTTTTTATCCATATGAGTTACGCTTTCTCTTAATTTTTCTACTGGATTTTTGCATAAATGTGCACTGACATTTTTTATCTAGAGCTGACTGTAGATATTCTTCCGAAAGAGTATGATTTGAGAAATGTTAGCCAGCCACTTTACGTGTTCAGCGGTCGCAGGAAAGCTGTTTCATATGTGACATTATACTGTTATTTGATTGCTGTTCCTTTGATTTCAAGGACCGATAAAGTTATCNTTAAACATATTATTGATAATATATCGTATTAAATTCGTATACATCTATATCGTATTTTTTTCGTATTCGAATTTTATAATCGAATTTTTACAAAGGTATTTTTTATCATCTGTCGTATCATACCCATAAAATTCTCGTACCCTTTTTTTGTCGTACCCGTATTTACTAACTAGGGACAAAGTATGTAGTTGATCTTAGTGTTAAGTAAAGTTTATAGAAAGTATTTATCATAAGAGTGATTATATGTCGGAACTAGGTTTATTATAGGAAAATAAGTTAAACCAAAATTTTCTTTATAATCAAATTCTAACGACTAACATAAAAACAACTATAAATTAGAATATTAAGTTAAAATCTTACCTTTATATGTGTAAAATTATTATTAAAAAAAAGTAATATAAAACTGATACTATTTGTGGCTTCTCCAGAACAACAAGCTTTGAAATATTAATCAAATATAAATATATTAAAATAACTCTGATTATCCTATAATGGAACCAATTCACTGTGGTAACAACTCTATTATTGAACAAGTTAGCATTGTTAGAAAAACTAAGCTGTAACTTGAAATTTTATTTGATAGAAAAACCAAACATTACAATTCACATGTACAATATAAATATAAATTATAGCTTATAATTTAAATTTATACCAATTCCTCGTGATTTATAAATTATAAATACATTTTTAGTTGTTATAGCTTCTCTCCCATAATCACTTGTTCCATAAACTATCACTTTAAATATTTTTGAGAAACACTTTTCATACATGATTATAGAAGAAGTGGGTTATAATAATTTTTTTTTATTTTTTATTTTTTATTTATATAAAATAGGCTTTTGTAGCTTTTAGGATTAGAAACTGCGTTGTTTAGTTAAAATACCCTTCACATAAAATATACAATATAAATTTAAATAAAAACTTAATTATTTTATTTATAAATTTAAAAATATTAAAACGGTAAGAAGTTGTCAATCAACGCTGATCAACAAATCAACAAGAGTAAAAGAAAATTAACATTTTTTTTTATTTTAAAGTAAAAGATCTGGTGGTGGTCCAGGCCAAGATCTGGTGGTCGGTCAATCGCAACCAAGCCACCACGCCGGTACCGAGCAACCTAGATCGCCGGAAGCCAGAGACCCGCTGCAAATCCAGCCACCCAGATCGTATAAGCCAGTCGCCGTCCATGTTTGTGTCCAACTTTAATTTTTCTGTTTCTTCAACGACTTACTCTCTAAGATGGGGGTAATGTTGGGTGTTTCTGAAATTAAGGGGGAAAAGTTAATTTACGATAGTTTAGTGGTGACAATGTGATTCATCCATAAAACTAGTGTAAAATAAAATAATGTTCTCCTCGTTGACTGTTGCCATTTGACAAGTCAATTTTCCTAATTAATGTAAATCAATCAAGAAGACAATTTAATCCTTCGTTTACTTTAATATTTACATAAAACTTTTGACATATAAAAATAATTAATAATATTTTTATAATACTTTATTATGTAACTATTTAAAAGCATTTCAAGTTATTATATTTTTCTTTCCTGTTTTAACAAAATAAGTGAATTTACGAATTAATTACGGAAATACAAAAATTTATTTCACATTTAACAACAAAAAATATAAAAAAAATCAATTTTAAAAATAAAATCTATTTCTAACATGAATTTGTCTCATTGAGGGAGAAAAATGACTTTGAGCAGAGACAAGGACATGACAGCTGTAAAAGGGCTGACAACTCTGGGGTTTGCTGAAAGGTTATATGAGTCTTTAACAGGGAGTATAAATGTTAATTTTTTAAAACTCATGGACCTTAACGATATAGTTTTCCTGAAAAGTTGTATAAATCAAGTCTCGATGATTGAAAGAGGACGATTATTTTCAAAATGAGCAAATTATTTGGAAGGATGAAAGACTGGCCTGTCAGGAGGGCTACGGATAACAAGAAGGGTGAAGAAGAAAAACAAAAGGTGCTCTCTCTCTCTCTCTCTCTCTCTCTCTCTCTCTCTCTCCCTTGTATATCTAAAGTTTCTTAGATGAAAGTTTTTGTTTTAATTAACTAAGATTATTATTATTGTGGAAATTGTAAGGATACTGAATCTTGATTAGATTGGAGCATAATGATATTTGGAATTAAAAAAAAAAAACTATTATAATATTTATGATATACATGTTGAGTCTTAGAATTCTTGGATCTGGGATCTAAGGGCTTTTTTCTTTTAATTAAAAAAAAAAATTACTGCACCAATTATGTCTAAATATTTTATTATGTATTAGATTTTTTTTTTTTTTTTTTTTTTTATGATTTTACCTTAATATTGAGAGTACAGGAACATCAAAAAGAAGAAGAGAAGAAAGGGAATCACGCCAAAGATGACAAGCTAAAAGGATCAGAGAAAGAAAAAAAGGTCCAACATAACTTTCTCTTCTTTTTATTTTTAATTTTATTTCATATATTATAAAATTCTACAGTAATTATATTATTTAGTCATATTTTAGGGTGTAAAATAAAAACTAGTCCCAAAGTGAACAGAGTCCCACAAAATAGCCTTGTTCAATTTCCTAATTTTGAAGAATGAAAATGCCCTCAACTACATGTTTTTTTAACTTTTTCTTCAAAACCCAAGAGGTTGGTCTAGCAGTTGGGGAGGTTTGCTGTTTCATTGGCTTCTTGGATTTGAACATTGGAATCACTTATCACATTGTGACTTACTTGATCCTTAGGGCTTGTAAAGTGTTCAATGAATTTCGAAGATTAGTCGAGGTATGCACAAGTTAGTCCAGACACCCTGATTATCAAAATATATATACAGAAGAATCTCTCTATAGTGATTATAAATAAGAATAAACTTCAAGTTGTAATAAGTTATAATTTGTCTAGATCCCTTTTTAAGAAACTTACCTCTACATAGTAATAAGTATCTGTATATTGCACAAAGTATATGTTATGATACATTAAAGGTTTAAGAGGAAATATAATATTTATCTAAAGTTATTTGGGACAATAATTGATGCTTTAGAGTTGTTATCACATATTTAAACTTGCGGGTACATAATGACTCACCAGCATGGACACTTTCTCATTGAAGCCAAAATATTTCTAGGTTCTCAAGCATGCTTAGAGCTTCTTAACATGAAACTTTTTGTATTTAGTACTATCATCCTCATGATTATCTCTTTCCCCTTCTTGTCTAATTGCAACCATGATTTCACTTGTTGGAGTTGGGCCTAACTCCTCACTCAAAATGCCTTATTGAGTGAGAGGATTGCCCACTCTTTTAAACCCATTGGCTTGAGCGTGCCTAGTCGATATGGGATCTCCAACACTCCCCCTCACAGTCAAGCTCATATGGTCCACTTATCTATGAATAGAGGTAGTTTGACAGCCCACCGCTGGTCAATCACTCAGCTTGGGGCTGACTTTAATACCACTTGTTGGAGTTGGGTCTAACTCCTCACTCAAAATGCCTTATCGAGTGGGAGGATTGCCCACTCTCATAAACCTATTGGCTTGAGCGTGCTTAGTCCATATGGGATCTCTAACAATTTCTTCTTCAGATAAAACATACATGATTTGTTACTTATTTGGATGATTGAGGAAGACATTAATATCCATTCGATAGTGCATACTTTACCTCTATATCACTTGTACTAAGGAAAACTAAGTCAAAATAATAATTTTTATAACTACAACTCTATTAAGTTATAACCTCCTCATAGTAATAAAATTAGTTTGGTATGGTTGGGGATTTTGAAAATTGAAGGATATACAGAGTTAGCATGAGCTTGATGTTGTCTCAATATAATGAGTTAGTAGGGCTTCATGCCTAGCCACCATAGGTAAGTGCCAATCCCATGAAAACATACCAAGTTGGCAAGTCCTAGATGTCAGCTCGTTATACCAAGCTGGTTGGGCTTTATGCGTAACTACTATAGGTGGGTGTAATCAAATGAGATTTACTTAAAGGGTGGTTTTACTTTGATACCAATTTTAACAACTACAAATGGGTAGAACTTACATTAAAAATCAGTTTGTAAGGGTAGGGACAAGCAAATTTTTCAATGGACTCGAAACCGTTGGATACCTGGTTTTTGGTTTCGATTCCTATCCGAAACTGACATTGTACAGGTCAATTCCAGTTCCCAAATTTAAGGAATCAGAACTGGAACCGACTTGAGAACTGGAACTGGGTACCTAGTTTGGAACCAGGTCAAGAACCTAGTGGCAACTCTGTAATTTCAGCAAGTTGGGGCATATACGAAATTTTGAATTATGGTTTCTTCACTTTCTTTTATTCTTCGTCCTTTTCAGTTTGTCTTTAGGGTTCAGGGGGAAAAATTCTCTCAACTTTTTCTCTTTATTCTTAATCTCTGCCTGCGCTTGCGCCAGCCATTTCGGGTGACCAATTGTTGCCTCTCGGTTCCTATTTGTTGTTTTAGTCCACCTTTTCCTAGTTCCCACTACGTCGTTGCAGTTTTCTGTGTATTTCACCGCTTCACAACTTCCTCTTCACGTCTGCCTCATGCATCGCATGACTGTGCTTACACAAGAGAAACAGTCTTTCAATTGTTGAGTCTCATTCGCACCTATCTTGCCCATTGTGCGATCGATCATGCTTGCATTTATGTGATCTATCTCGCCTCTATCACTATCGCAAAATTGCTTGTGCCTCCTCGCTTGCAATCTGCACTGTCGCTGTGCGTGCCATCAACCATTAAAACCACCATCACATGCCATCACCTGCCCCGCGACTATCTCTCCAAATAGTCGTGCCATCGCACACTATCTCCCATCCAAACAACCGTCGTCTCCGCCTTCCCATTGCTGAGCTCCATCTCACCTTCACTTTGACTGATTGAGTTTGATTTTGATTTTGGTTGATTTTTTAGTGGAGTTGTTTGGTTGTTTGACTATGAACAGAACAATACGTATCTGGAACTAGAACCTACTCGACAGGTTCCGGTTCTGGTTCCTAAGGTTTAAAAACCAAACAGTACTGATTTTGATGTGTGGTTTTACTTTCAATTCTTGAGATTTGTACTGGGTGCCCAAACAGGCGAATTGAAGACAAGAAGGTAGTGGTTGATCTCAAGATGTGAAGGTGTACGCACTTCGGGAGGGGAATCTCAATTGAGAGGACTTGAGATATGGCACCAAATGTGGATGTATCTGTTTAGCTAACCGGCTATAAAAAATAAATGGGTGTAGATATGTGATTGTGGAAGGGAGTAGGACGGGAGTGATGGCCCCTTTTTGCCAATGAACGACGAGCCTATTCTTGGACATACGTTATACTTGACCGACGTTGGCTCCATACCCAAGAATAAGGTGTATGGTGCTTTCTCGTTCAATAGTTATTAATGCATATAGCAAGTTATTTCTTAGTGATGTGAAACTATTAAGATCGTTAGTTAGCATTAGTGAATAGGATTAAAAAAAAAAAAAAAAAAAAGGCATTACACTTGATCTGTCTTACATGTAGTGAACTAATAAATTAAAATCAACAAATGATGGTGTTTTTTTTTTTTTAAAAAATAAACAGCAAGATAATAGAATCGGATCATTCACCATACTGTTCAACATTAAATTATCTTATACTATTATTTACTTAAAAACAAATTAATTCATTCTTTATTTTTTTTCTCTTTTATTTCTTAACAGCTAGAGGGTCAATCATCACCCCAGGAGCCGACCCCTACTACTCCGGTATTGTTTCAACATTTAAATTATCATTTTTTGATTTTATTATAATTTACCACATATTAAAGTGAGAATAATCCTGCCTTTTTTTTTTTTTTTTCTTTTAATACTATTCACTAACAAAAAATAAAATGCAGTTAGTGTGAGGGTTCGTCACTTACCAAAAAGTTCTTTACTTTTAAGATTCTTTCATCAAAATTGGAAAAAAAAAAAATTGAATTATTTTTTAAGTAATATTAATTAGATTTGTAAACCTTTATCAGCTGGTATCCTAAGCCATCCATAATAAAATTTTATATTAATATTTTTCCAAAAAAGTATACACAACATTTTTTTTCTTTCATTATAGAGTTTTATTCTCAAAAAACAATAAAGAATTTATTTTAAAGGCGTCAAGACGAAAAATCAAATTGTTTTAGACTATTTTCGGGACAGCCTCAAAGGTTTGAAAGGAAAATCTGATTTTCAATTTGTCTCAAGAGGCGAGAAGAAGAAAAGAGCAAAGGCAAGAAGACAGAAGAAGCAGAGACAGAAGAAGCAGAGATACCAGAAAAAAAGAACAAAGGCGAGAAGACAGAAGAAAACAAGGTCCAACATAACTTTTTTTATCTTTTCATTTATATTTATTTATTCGTATATTATAAAGTTCTATATCTTTTGATCATAATTTTTTTTTTTTTTTTTAATATGCTTACATGAAAGTATTTTATTTTATTTTAATTGATACATGTTTTAACTTAGATTAATGTTCCTTTTCTTTTTTTAGTTTTTTTTTTTTTTTTTGGTAGAGGTAATTGTAAGGGTTAGTGAATCTTGATTTGATTTCAGAATGATGATATTTAGATGAAAGTATGCAAATTATTACTAAATTTATGGAATTTTTTATTAAATTTATGACCTAAATGTTGAGTTTAGGTTGTATGGTGAGAAATATATATGATGAAAGTGAGAACTAATTTCGAAATGTACAGGGTATAAAAATCTTTCCTAAATACTTTGATATTACGTGGGGCGACGACACAAGATACTGGATACGACCGACAGATGAAACGTGAGAAAATCCCCCTTTCTCTAATTATTATCGTCCAATATATAGAATTAGTTCTCTGCACATTAATTGTTCATATGGAATATTGCCATCGAATTTTCTATTTAATGCATTTTTTACTGTTTGGCTAAATACTTTCGGTAAAACGTCTATAAACCTTTCTTTGCAGTAGGGTTTTTTATAGTTTGTTCTAGTGTAAAATTTTGATAAAAACGTATTTTTATACCATTTAAGATCTGTCATTATAGGACATCTTAAATTTGATAATATTTTTTATGATCTTTTTTGAAAACTAGTGAGAGGTCTACTATAAAGTTTTTAGTTATTGCATAAATTAAAGTTGCTACAACATCTTCTTCTTCATATTCATGCTGCATGATTTATTAGCGTTTTCTTCATACAGTAGTGTATATTATCTATAAATCTGAAAAATTCGGCATATATTTCACTGTACAGGTCACCTACAGAGCTAAAGAAGGTGTGCTGGCTTCAAGTAACCGGTTCAAAAATAGTAAAAATTGGGAAGTCATATGAAATAAAGTTCAACATTACTTTGAAAGCTGACGCCTTTGGGTGGAATGGCCTCCCACTTTTTATGATGGCTAAGATTGGGGCAAAGGGAAAATCCATATGGAAAAAGATTAAGCCACTGGAGATGACTACACCTGATAATCCATTTGATATTCCTAATGCTGAAGAAAAGTTCACCGTTAAAATTCCAGGTGATAAAGATGACGAGGAACAGGAACTTTTCTTTGGTTTCTATGAAATTTGGAGTAACAAATGGAAGGGAAGATTGTATATTAATCATGCAATTGTTGAAGAAGCAAGGCCAGAGGATGTTGCCTAATAAATGGAGACTAGAAGAGAAAAGGTAAACTGGCATCTCGTGGACTGATAACATTTGTTATATTTTGTGGTGTTTGCTAAACATATATTAATAAAGTGATGCTCCTAAGCATATAATGTTAGGATCCTAACTTTGGATCCCGACTGATGTTATTGTCCATGCATGTGTCAACACTGAATTAATTGTACGAAACATAACATCAATTGCATTAATTACGAAATCCTGTAATCAATATGGTGCTAGCATATAAACATCCACATCAATTAGGATCCAAACTTGAGATGCCAACTTTATAAACATGATATTATTGACATTATTATTTTATTATTATGAAGCATACTAGTAATCATGAGCTACAGATAGCCAGTATTAAATATTTGTTGCTTTATTATTCAAAGAAATAAAGTCATGCTTGTTGCCAAAGTTTTCAAAAACCTAGGTTAAATAGTTTGATAATTTAATAAATACTAATTAAATAATAGTGAATGATATGACAATATAAAAATAGTATCACGTTACTTGTATGGATGACTTTATAGAGTATTTTTGTAAATGTAGTATTATTAGTTAGAATAACAATTTCATTATAGATGAGAAAACTTTTATATAAATTTTGATAATTAATTCTCAAAGCCTAAATAGAAGGCTCCATAACTAACAAAATGATTGATATAGAGAATTTTTATCAGTCCCATGTGATCATAATGCTTTGTTTTCATTGTATCTTTAGGTTTGGTTATATATATATAACCAAACCTAAAGATACTCTATGTTTAAAGAAATTTTAGAAGCTTATTAGCTTAACTTTAGCTTACAAAACCTAAAGATACTCTATGTTTAAAGAAATTTGATAAGCTTATTAGCTTTCTTTAGCTTACAAACTTCTTTAATATAGAAACTATACAGAGTAGAGTAAGTTTTTGATGAAACTAATGAACCGTATGCTTCATATATAAAGTCATAATAAATATGCACTGTTTAAAACCAATCCGATAATTTTACTGATTGATAACAAATCATTTGTCCTAAATAAAACAAGCGTGAGAAATGGACCGAAGAAAGTTGAAAATCTGATTTTTTTTCTTTTGGATAAAATTATTCATGTTGCTAATTAAGATATAGGGAACAACTTTCCTGATTATGTGAAACTACTTTTGTGATTATGAATGTTGAAAGTTGAGAGTCTGATTCAAAGAATGTTGTATTATTGAAAATGTTATATTAATGAAAAGATAGATTACCTTGAAGATTACTATGAATATTAAGGAAAATGTGTTCGGTTGGTTGAAATAAATTGGTAGGTATGTTATATTTATATGTTTAGTTGGGAGGAATAAATTGGTGGGTATATTATATAATTTACTAAATTTTCCTCCTTTATAAATATTAATATAATATTATTTTTTGAAAAAATTTTAGCCCCTATGTTTGAGATATTGCTAAAACACCCCAGTAACTAAGAACGTTTAAAACTTAATAAGAACACCTCCACCCATCCCAAGCCACTATCGGTCGCTTGTCACCACCAGTGGCGGTGGTGGCAATGGTCGTAACAACACACGACCTGTCGAATGTGATTGGCTGTGAGCCGATCTGACCATTTTCGACAAGATCCATGATGGATCTGGCAAAAAATGGCCAGATTTATGGCTAGAACTAGTCGTAATTAACGACCAAAGTTTTAGCCGTCCTTAATAGCCTGTGTTCTGATTGTTGACAGCCATAATTTGGTCGTCAACGACGGCCAGATCTATTTGGCCATTTGGTCGGAAACTGCCATATCAACGCACGATCGGCCAAATCTAGCCTGTCATATGATATTCCGATGCTGGCTAACGATGGTTGCCAGCGGCCAGTGGCTGACGACAGTGGCCAGATCCGATCACCACCCTTGGATAATTTTTTTAAAGTCCAGGGGAATTTATGCCCTAAAAAAAATTATATATAAGGATAAAATAGTCCTTAAATTTTTCTGCAAATTTTTTTCAAAACAAGGGTATTATTGTCCAAATATTTTAATAGTTAAGGGTAAAATTATAATAAAATTTAGATTATCAAGTATCAAACTCTCCCAAAAACTATTTGAGAGTTCATCACCACTACCCATTAATTAAAAATCATCAGTTAGATGTCAACTATCACCATTTTAGGGTAGTGACTAGTGAGTGATGAAGTCTTATATAATCTTTCTTTGATTTCGGATATTCCTTTGTTTGGTTGTCAAGTAATGAAATATTTCGATAATCTTTTAATACCAATAGTAATTATTGTTGATGATATAGCCATATAGGGGATAATCAAATTACTGACTCAAGGGTGTTATTATTTTTTATACCAATTTTACCCTTAATTAAAAAACATTTCGAACACAAATGTCCTCAAATGTATACCAAATAATAATTAGTTCAATTGCGCGAAATGACTTCCATAACCTCATAAATTAATTTTTTTGGACAAAAAAGCCCCACGTTTTACATAAAATTAATCTTAATTTTGTTACAATTTTACCTCTAAATAATAAAATTTTTGGTTAGTAATGCCCTTGTTCTGAAAACTATTTACATAATACCCTAGCCACCCAAGACAATTATCGACTGCCAACCACCACCATCGACTGTCATCAATGGTCGTTGGAATGACGTATAACTGGTTGGATCTGGTCGGCCGTGCATCGATTGGGCTGTTTCTGACCAGATCACTAACAAGAAATGGCCAGATGGTTATGGATCTAGAAGAAAACGGCTAGATCCATTCTGGACATTTTCGGCCAGATCCTTGGCCATCTGGCCATTTACTACTATAGAACTGGTCGAAAACAGCTAGATTGGCATGCGATTGGCCAAATCTGGTCGGTCGTATGTCATTCTGGCAACTGTCAGTGGCGGTGGCGACTGACGATGGTGGTCGGCAGCCAACACTCGTCTTGGGTGGCTGGGGTTATTTTGTTAAATTTAAAATTTTTTTTATGACTAGGATGTCTTAGCTAAATTCTCAAACATAGGGGGTTAAATGTAGTAATCTAAATAATAATAATAATAATATTAAAAAAGAAGGGCAATTCAGAAAAAGTTTCTCCCAAAATTCTTTTATTTCTCTCAACTAAACATATTAAGTATTTATACCCACCAATCTACGAAACATATATAATATAATATTCCCAATAATTTTCTAAGTAATTTATCTCACTGGTAATTCTATATTTTTAGTAATAAAACATTCCTGGAACCAAATGCACTCTTAGAGCATACAATTAAGACTATGAACAAACAAAAATTTGATTGTTTCAATACATTTTATTATATTAAAAAAATGCTATATTTTTCAATGTTCCATATATGATTAATTTTTTATCACTTTGTGGGTTATATACCCTTATACTACTACAATAAAGATTGGCTCACAACTTAATCCTACAAACTTTCTTTCACAATCCCAATGTAATAACTCGCAATTGGTCAGTTTGCAAGTAGGCAGACGAGAATTGTTAGACAGGTGGAATCCATTACGAACTGACCAATTACAAATTGATATATTGTGGTTGTGAGAAAAAATTTGTAAGATTGAATTGTAAGTATAATATTATCCTATACGACTCATTATTAAACAAGTTGAATTGAGAAAAAAAAAACTAGTCTGTAACTTGAAATTTTATTTCATAGAAAAACTAACATGACAAACTTACTCATGGTATATACATTATAAACGCAGTTTTAGAAGCTTCAGCTGAGTTTGATATTTTAACAATTAGCCAACTACTAACAGCTTGCTGACCCGTCAAATGCTAGCTTAACAATAGACTAAAAGCAAGTTGACTTGCTAAACTGCATGCCTTGAACACACTGTTACACGCACACCATTAATTAATATTAATCAGTCGGAGAACAGAACTATTCTACCCTTTAATTAATATCCAATAGAAGTCTCTTGCATCGGTGATCTACAGCCTCCTTTAGCATTTCGAGCAACATATATAAATCCGTCATACTGGGAGTCTAGGCCAACGATCATCATCATTCTTCTTAGATGACACCCCATTTATCTGAAGCTGCTGCTTCGTACAAAATTGAAACTTGTTTGCAACCCGCTTGGAACAAACTTGAAACCTTGTTGCAATCTGCTTCTTAAACCATTTACGAGGAAGAGCCTTCTTAATCCACTTGTAAAATTTGAGCAACGTCACCTTAAATGCGACATACATAGGGAATTGCGTGAGTGCAAATATGCTGACCGGAAGAAATGCAGCAGTGTAAATGATAGTGGTGGTCCAACGTGGCTTTTGGAAACGAACGATAAGCAATAATGTTGCTGCGAATGCAAGCATTGTTGTAGTCAAGGCAATGAAGAGTAAGGAAAAGCCTATTGTCAGTTTTCGAGGGAGAGCGTGAAGGAATTCTTCGTAATTAAAAGGTGATGTGAGGACAGACAAGAACATGACCACCGAGGTCAAGGAGCAGGCTAAAGCAACCACGTCCATGACTGTAAAAAACATGAAGAATTTGTTGTTGAGAAAAACTGGATACCCTTTATCATTGGAACCTCCAGGTACTGTGTAGGCAGCTGCGAAGACGACGGTGGCAACAAGAACAGCCACTGCAGAGCAAGACTGAGAAGTCTCTTTTATCCATTGTCGTGCTCGCTTCAGTAGGTCATTATGCTTCATATTGAAGAGTTCTTCGCAAGTCATTTTATCCTCTGAATCAGGCAACATGAGGTAGTGGGGGGGCGTCACCTTCTCCGCACGCTGCATATATAACATATAGCAATATATATTGGTTCTTAATTAAATCTGCCACTGCCACGGTAATTAGTGCATAAACTAGAGTACATAAAATGGGGGTTGCCAATTATATTCTCTAAAATTTTATATTTTTGCTGTTTTAAAATTTCATTATTAAATGTCGGATTTGAATAATGAATAAAATTTAAAATAGAAAAGATATTTACATTAGCACACCCTGAGGACACAAGTTATTTCTTAATCCGTACATGATTAATATTCTTGAAGTTGGAGAAAGATGGGCTTACTTTGTACCACTTTAGCTCTTCTTGCAGTTCGTATACAGGTCCTGCAGGGTGAATTTCTCTAGTGTCATCACTCGTGTATGCAGCATGGTGTAAAATGGTGTAGCCATTTCTGTCAATCCCTCGGACTAACCTTGTCATTGGTATCTTCATCCTTTTCACATGATCAAATATCTTCTTTTGACGGTGCTTAATGGCCACATGCAATATGTTTTGCTTTAGATCATTCTCAGACTCAACTAATTGGGGATAGAATTTAAGTATCTCTTTGACAATCTTTATTATTCCTCTTTCAGTTGCCATAAATAAAGGGCTTGGCTTAGAATCTTCTTCAATCGGTGCTCTAGCTCGAATATTTCCTTGTTCATAAGAATCAGGTGATGAAATTGTTGGGATGACATCTTCAATCCACGAATCATCTACTGCTATTAGGCTCTTGGCAAGTCTAAAAGCAAGTTTATGCTTTCTCTTTGCTTCACAGATTTTTCTCGCTGGTGAACAAATTTTTCCTAGTATCCACCACCCTATTCATATTTATGCATTTACATTATTCATATAATGTAAATTAAAACGGAACAAAAGTCAAATTCTTATATAAAAAAATAAAATAAAATAAGTTAGGTAAATTCTTATCTGTTACCTTTAAAGAGATTTAAACAACATAATTCTTTGTCATCTACATTATCACCAAAATGAAGACCTGTACGGTTTAGGTATTAATAAAAAGTACAATTCGTTAACAAAGGTTTCTCTTTAACATATATGTTTGAAGGCATATATGCTAAGAAATTAAATCAGAACAAAAGTAAAGTTTCATCTATTACCTTTGAAGAGATTAAAACAATTCCCCTTTTCATCATCTATACGATCATCAATCGGAAGACCTGTAAATTTTATTAATTAATAAGAAATATGTAAATATCATTAACAAAATGTTCTTAAAATGCATGTATTAGCAAAAGAGTTTTAATGATATATTTAGATATCATTCGTATCATTTTTTTTTTTAATTTTCATCATTAAATTTTTTTCTAAAATAAATTCATATTAGCAAAGAAGTTGTTAATAGAGAAATATAAAGATAAGAGTTGTCGCACTCTTAATTGCATACATACAATTATTAGTTTTAGGATGAATTTAGGTACTTTTAGAACTTTTATTGTTTGTTTTTCATATCATCTCTTCTTTTAAGATAAATACACTTAATAAAATAAGTTAAATTTCATAATTTATATAGAAGTATTGAAAATTATTAACAAACACATTGGTTAAATAACTAAAATACCTTTATTCAATAATATATATAAACTTATATGAGAATGTTAAATGTCACCTAGAATTTATTTATTTAAAAAAGAAAAAAAAATTAATCTAGTTGACCAACGAAGTTGTCGGATATCGAATTTTGGCAGTCAAATTTTTTTTTTTTTTTAGTGAGATTCAATAATAATAATTTAAATCATATAGAGGCGATCATTTTAATATAAATTAGTGACACAAATTCTCAGCTATTGAATCAGTTTGATCCAATGACTTGATGAAAAGTTTACTATTTTTACTGCCAACTAAACAATTTTTAAACCATTAGATTAATATGAATTAATGATCATGAATTATATATATATATATAACTTGTGTTTCAATGACCCTCACTTAAAACATTTAAATCTGTGAAGTGTTGAAAAAACAAACAAACAGACAGATAAACACCCGTTCAGTCTAACTGTTATTAATATATGTTACAGTATAGAAAGTTGGAGAGTACATACAGAAGTAGAGGACTCTACTGATCAGTGTGGCCATTCGGTATCCACTTTTGAAAGCAGAGGGTATAGTGGCTAGCAGGTGAAGATTGGTCCTGCCATTTTCGCCCTTCAATGTTGCCAAGCCTTTATCCAGTTTCAGTAACAGTAGAGCCGTTTCTGAGCGAAAATTTGAAAAGAACTTAGCACATCAGATAGCAGTTGAATATTTCAGTTCAAAGCAAAAGTAAACAAGCTAGATGGGTAGAGAAAGAGACCAAAGTACTCTCCTTGGATGGCAACGTGCAGAATGGAGGCTCCATGCACTTCTATGGTTTCTAGGGGTGTAGGCGGTTTGGAAGGTTCAGGTTTAGCCTTAATGCGGGTTATTATTTGGCGGTGAATGCCTTTCAACTTTGTATATTCTTCTTTTTTCCCTTCCCCCGTTTCTGTAATTTTATATTCTGTTTTTTTGATCAGTTGTTCAAATGACTCTGAAGCTAAAAACTTCACTACTTTTGTTCTACCATATGCAGCAGCTTTAAACATCGGGGTTTCGCCTTCCTCATTCCTATCCTCAAGGAACTCAGTATTTCCGTCCACGAGTCTCTTATCGTGTTCCACCAAGAGCTTTACGGCCTTAACGTTCCCAATAGCGGCAGCCTCATGAAGAGCTGTGTTTCCGTACTTATTCTTTTCCAAATATGCATACATTGCAATAGGGTCTTCTTTGCTAACATCAAGTAAATGTTCAAGCGGCTGTTCCTTGTTGCTGAAAACTGCCAAGTGAAATGCAGTGTCCCCGGCGGCCGATAGAATAGATGACAAAGCAAAAGCATTTTCTTTTTTGAAGAAGTTTTTCAGGTCATCCCACTCCTCCTCCAGGGCTGCCTGATAAGGCCTACAAATTGTTGAATCATTGTCCCTCTCAGGCCCAAAAAATGTTAAATCATTGTCTGTCTCAGGCCCACAAAATGTTGAATCATTGTTCGTCATCATTCTCCAATTCAAAAACTTCCCTATGGAGGCAAGGAAAGTATTAACGAAGAATCCAACAAAAAGTATGCAAAATTTTTCTCCTATTAATTTTACCTAATCAGTAAATTGTATGGCTTAGTGTTTCAGGTGGGAGTGATCCAGCTGGTTACGCACATATAGGGTGCAATTATATAATGTTGTCTTCTAAGTTTATAATTTATTGTTCAAAATTTAATAAATTACAAATATTTTGTCTCTAATACAATAATACATATGTATATCAAAGAATGCTTAAATTAACTTAACATAAAAGTGCTTGATTATATGTGGAAATTATAACATTAATTTAATTTCAAAGTACATTTACAAAAAAAATACTTTAACAAAATTAAATATAATATAATAAAGTTAAATGGGATGAGTGTTACCAACCTACTCACGTACTTGAATATTTGAAATTCAAAAGATAACTAAATCAACATTAAGGTTTAGTATTTTGGATAGGATTTTGGGGATAGTATTGGGTTATTGGATAGAGGAGTATTACGAGGTAAATTTTAAAAATTTATAAAAAAAACCCTTAGGTTTACTAATTTAATTAAAAACCCTAACTGATAAAATGACAAAAACACCCCCACCACCTGTAGTGCCAGATTCCGGCCACCACTGCCAGAATCTGGCCAGAAAGTCAGTGTCTGATCTGTGATATAACACATGGATCTGGCTGAAAAAAGGCCAGATCTACGGTCTGTTATGGACGTCGACGACCATCTTTGATCGTCGTTTTCGGTCAACGATGGCCATTACTTTGGCCGTTGCTGAAGGCCAGATCTGGCCTTTTTCGGCCAGATCCGTGGTAGATCTGGCCGGAAAAGGCCACATTGGTGAACTTCCGGCCATTTCTGGTCGGAAGTTAGGCAGTTGTATAGATTCCAACTATCACCGATGGTGGTTGCCGGAATCTGACAAGTTGGGTTTATAGGGGTGTTTTTATTAATTTTTAAACTTTTTTCAGGGGGTATTTAGTGAAATTAATAACCTTATGGGGTCTAAAAGTAATTAAAAAATAAAGTAATATTTCTGAAATAATGTGCCAAACATTATTTGGAGAATAGGATCCAGAATATAGATAAAAATACTAAGCCAAACATGCCAAAGATGTAAAAGAAATCCGATTCGGGCTGAGACTAGGCATAAGTTATATCACATTATCCAAGACCACAAGGCTTGACTTTGATAAGGCCGACCTAGACTCAGGTATATTATATAAAATTTTGAAAGTTACTATAACCTACATTTAACCCTCTAAAAACTACATCCAACACCTTTTACAAATTAAAATTTCAAAAAAAAAAAAAAAAAAAAACCTCTAAAAACTTCCAACAACTACCTTATGTGAAATTAATTATTAAATAGCCCCCTGATAAATTTTAAGTAGCCCCCAATCTATAAGAAAAATCTCAAAAAAGATCTTTGTTTTTTCAACTAGTTAAACTCGGGCCAAACTCGAAAGCCAAGGTAGGAGTGGTTCGAGTATTAAAAACCAAAACTTTTTCCCAAGCCTGGGCTCGAGATTCTTGAGAATTCGATTTTGATTTGCAATCTCTAATTTTGAAAAAACAAGCATACCAATAGGTATTTTTAAGAGTTCGATTTTGACTTGAAATCTCTAAACCTTAATCCCTAAATAACCATTTCACTACATCAGTTAACTAAGCTCAACCCACTTCAAACTCCTACCCAACATTATCAAAAGACAACATTGAGAGCAATTCGGATTATCAAACAAAATCTTGAAAAATAATTTTTAAGTACATACCTAGAAGTGCGAGAGCTTTCAATCTCACTTGAGTCTAGCTATGGCTGAAGTTCTTCACACGTTAGAGAGTGAGGTGAGAGGAGATCAAGAGACACAACACAAGTTGCCTGCAGTGAGATAAATGTTTGGAATTAAGGAGAAAAACTTCGACTACACAATGGAAATTATATTTGGTTGATTTCGGAAATGTATTTTACACTTCGAGAATATTGAAACCGGCCATTTTCTTTACTATTTATAATCAAAAGGGACAAAGATCTTTTTGAGTCCATGGAAACAATGTCAATCCAACGGATCCAGAAAAAGCTCAATAAACGAGGCACCATTAATTACAATCTGAAATCAACGGAACACATTCATTGTCTCTAGATAGGTCGTGGACCCAGTTTCTTACCTTTCGTGCGTGGTGGAAACTGGAAGAGATCCTTATCAAACGTTTGATTATGAATAGTTATTAATTAATTTAACTTCAATTATTCAAGTTTGTCTCCTCAATCCCATCATCTTTGTCACTCTCGTTTTCCTCTTGTCACTCCAACACTCCTATGCCAAATCACATAAAATTGAATATTTCGAAAACTTCCCAACGTGTGAAGAAATTCAGCCATAGTTGGAATCGGTGTTAAAAACTCTCACACTTATATATATATATATATAGAGAGAGAGAGAGAGAGAGAGAGAGAGAGAGAGAGAGAGAGAGAGAGTAGTACTAATGCTTTATATATAATATTTTTGGTTGTTTCTAAAAATTGACTCTAAAAGATTTTTGTGTGAAAGTTTCTAACATTTTTTTTAATAATCCAGGAGACTTGGCTCTCATGTTGACGTAGTTTATGGTCAATACTTATTTATTATTTTTAATATCACATTAGATATGAGAATAGAAAGGAAAGTGGAAAAATTTTAGATGACCAATAATATATACAAATCTTTAATAGAATATTACTAATTCTTTATAATATATATTTTCATTTTTTTTTTAAGCGTAGATATTGTAAGATTCTTTCAGTAAGTTTTAAGACTTTTTTTTATAAGTGATATGTTATTAAACGTTAATGGAAGTGTTAGGATCAAGAGCATGCATGAAAGACGGGAAATGTGTTTTGTGTAGGAGAGTATATGTTTTTTTAATTATGTGGGGTGCGCCAGCTCACTTGACGTTACATTGGAAATTGATATATTTTTTTATTTTTTTGGGTAATCGAGGTGTTCGCCAGGTTGCACACTTGCACTTTACCTCAATTAATCACCCGTTTTGTGTAGAAGAGTTTATGTTTTTTTAATTATGTGGGGTGCGCCAACTAACTTGACGTCACGTTGGAATTTGATAATTTTTTTTTTTTGGTTTTTTTTTTTTTTGTGGTGCCTAGGGGTGTCCGTCCTAGTTTGTGTAGGATTATTCGGACCAGCTTGTGTGGGATTATTCGGACCAGCTTATGTACATCTCAGTTAATCCCCTGAAGTCCTGAAGTTAACAATCGGATTAGAGGTGGAACATTTGGGCTGGGTTAGGTGGGTCAACCCTAACCTGGCCCGTAAAGAAGCGGGTTGAATCCGGTAGCAACCCCCGGGCGGGCCAGGTTGCACAATGGCAACCCGCACCCCGGCAGGCTACTATTTTGTCTCTTTTGCAAGAGACCCGCCAACCCGCCGGGTTGGCCCAAAAAAAATAAAAAAAAATAAAATATTTTATTTTATTTTTCAAATTACCCCTTTACCCTTGAAATATAGCTGTTTTATAGCCGTTGGAGGGGTCTTTTTCATCATTTTTCTTTCCCATTTTTTCCTATAAATTGGCCCTAAACTCTCACATTTTTCTCACAACTCAAATTCTCTCATTCTCTCATATTCTCTAATCTCTAATCTCTCAATTATTCATTTATTCTCTTAATCTCTTTGTTATCAATTTGCTCGTATTTTAATTTTTATTAGTTTTTGCAATTTTTAATTCATATTTCCAATTTCCCAAATTCCAATTTTCATATTCCAATGTTCTTTCTTTAATTTTAATTTCTTCTACATCAATTTTTTTTTTAACTACAATGGATAAATATTTCTCTCCCATCAATTACAATGATGAAGGAAACTACTATCCTAGTCCTAGTCCTAGTCCTATTGATTTTACTAACATAAATGCAGGAGGAGATTCAAATAGTCCCGCTTTCCCATTCTCAAAATCCGATACACCTCAAAATATGTCCCCGATTCCAACAGCTCCCGGTGGTTCTAGAAGTTGTCCTCGTAATCGTCGTGCTCGTCCAACTTCATCTCAAGCTGAGGCGGGATCATCAACTGCCGTTGAAAGCGAAGACAGACACACATCAGACGTTTGGGCGCATTTCAACAAGTTTTATGAGACAGAAAATGACGTTCAAGTCAAGAAAGCGAGATGCAAATACTGTGAAAATATTTATAAAGCTGATTCAAGTAATAGTACTAGTACTTTAAAAAGACATGCTAATAAACATATTAATTAACATGGAAATAGAGAAAGCAATCAAACTCAAATAACTAATATGGGTACTAATTGGCGTTATAATTCTGATGTATATAGGGAACAGTAAGCTTTATATATTGCTGCAACTGATCAACCTATTAATATGGCTGAAGATAAATATTTTGAAAGATTTATTCAAAATTCATTTTTTCCAGGATTTAAAAGTTATTCTAAAACTGCAACTAGAAATAATTTAATAAAATTATTTAAAAAAAATGAAATTAGAATTAAAAAATAAAATACATACTTATCATGTTAGTGTGGCTCTAACTGCCGATATTTGGAGTGGTAAAGCTAAACAAGATTATATTTGTGTGACTAGTCATTATTTTGATAATGAATATAAATTAAATAAATCTTTATTAGGATTTAGATTAATGGATGTTGATCATAATGGTGAACAAATTTATAATAAAATTGTTGAAGTTTTAGAAGATTATGATGTTATTAGTAAAGTGATAAGTTTAACTTTAGATAATGCAAGTTCTAATAGTAAAACTATAGATTATTTTCAAAGTAATTATCCTTTATATAACAATTTGAAGTTTTTTCACCAACGTTATGCATGCTATGTTATTAATTTAATTATGAAAAGTGGTATAAAAACAATTAAAGAAAATATTAATAGAATTAGAGATTGTTTAGCTTGGATTACTAGTAGTAATAAAAGAAATGCTGAATTTCAAGACGCTTGTATAAAATCAAATATGTCTCCTAGAACTTTTGCATTAGACATGCCTGTTAGATGGAATAATACTTATCTAGTGCTTGATTCATGTTTACCTTATGCTAATATAATTAGTTATTTTGTAGCAAATAATAGAGGTCCTCATTATTTGGTAGAAAATGATTGGCAAATAGCTAAAGTATTTCATTCTTTTCTTAAAACTTTTTACCAATCCACTTTACAACTTTCTGATGTGTATTATCCTACTAGTTCATTGGTAATACATACAATTATAAAAATTTCCGAGTTATTTATAAAAAACAAAGACAATGTAATTTTAAATACACCAATAAAGGCAATGAATTTTTTTTTTTTAAAATATTGGGAACCCATTCATTTTCTTTATTGTTTAGGTGCTATATTTGATCCTAGAATTAAATTAGCAGGTTTAGAAAATGGTTTTGACAGTTTATGTGAAAATTTACAAACCGAAGCATATGCCAATCAAATAGGAGAGGTAAAAAATATATTTTTCGAAGTATATTTCCAGTATGAAAACAGGTATGGGAACCCGCAAAGAGACAAAACATCCAGGGAAGCTGCATCAGAAGAAACAAATGAAGACTTCTACTCTTGAGGTGCACTGAATAGGCCGAAAAGGAACCGAATCCGAAGCACAACCTCCTCTTCAGAAGCTTCACAAACAACAACAACTAATGTACTGTCTTCCATGCAGTCGCAGAGTAATGAGCTTCAACAATATTTGGTAACCCCTGAAATGTTAGCAGTAGATCCACAACAGAGAGCCAACATTGATCTCTTAGACTATTGGAGAGCCAGAAAATGTATTTTTCTGGTATTATCAAGACTTGCCTTAGATGTTTTCGTTGTTCTTGTCTCAACCGTCTCATTCAAACAAACATTTAGTGCAAGTGGAAGAATTTTAAATGAAATGAGGACTAAACTTTCACCACAAATAATTGAAGCCCTCACATGTCTTCGAGATTGGAAACAGTCGCGTCATCAAGGTCAATACAAGGTTGTCGATGATACTTTAATAGAATCATTTCAATTTTGTAATATAGATGATACGGATGAGAGAGGTCCTAGTAAACCCCAAAATTAGTTGTTTTGTAAATTGTAACTTGTAAATTAATTGTCAATTATTGCACTCTTTTTTTCTTACCAAGTTTTTGTCCTATTGGGTTTTTCTTTGTGAGGTTTTTAACGAGACAATAATTATTGTAATTTCTTATTTTATTTTTTAATAAATGAATAAATTTAATTATTCTTAATATCTTACATTACAATTTTAATGTATTAAAATTATTAAAATTGAATTAATATTTGGAATGTTAACAAAAAATAATAATAATTTAATTTAATTATTGATATTTGAAAAGAAATTAACAATTAAATAAAAACAATTACATTTATTAATTTATAAATTGTTAATTATTCATTTGAAAAATTAATTAAACATTTAAACTTAAACAAAATAAAACAAAAAAAAATAAAAAAAAAAAAATCAAAAAGCAGGTTAACCCGGCCCAACCCGTGCCTAACCCGGCGGGTTAGGGTTGGCGGTCCGGGTTAGGCCAGCCAATTCCCTAATATTGGCGGGCCTAACCTGGCCCGCCAATGTTACCGGGCAGGTCAGAATCGACCCGCCATTAATAGTAACTTGCCGCGGGTCGGGCCGGGCCGGCTCGGATGGGTTGCTTTTCCACCTCTAAATCGAATAATCCTCTAGTGGCCGCCCCTATTATTAGTCAAGGTAGATCAAACTCAAAACCTTTTGAGTAATACATCCAAAAGTCTTACTTAACCGCTTGACCACCTAGTTATGGTTAATTGATATGGTTGTTGAAACTTGAAATATTAATGGGATATGAGATGTGGGAAGACGATGGAGGAAATAATAAACAATATTATGTATAATAATTTTTATGTACAAACTATATATATATATATATATTTTTTTTTTTTTTTTGTGTATTTATTATTATATACACATACTATTTTTAA